TATCTCCCTAATGGATTCACTGCCACTCCTGCATCTTGCACTTTCCAGGTGATACTGCAGTTTAGCTAAGCAAAGTTTGCCCACTGTGCCAATGTGTGATAGCTACTGCTATGGCAAAGCCCAACCAATCCTCACCCACTCTGGCTTATGCATGTACCTGTAGGTACAGTTTGCACAGCCTGGTGTGTCCATGATCCAGCTTACATACAGGCCAATAAGTGTTGTGACCCTGCCCAACTTGATCTGCACACATCCCAGCTCTCATGCTCACCAGTGGGAATAGTGACCCAATAGGGGACCTCCCTCAACCCCCCTACCAGGTTTGCCCACTCTCCCCTGGATTTCACATGTGCTGGTTGGGCACTGTAGCCTAGTCTGGCATGGCCCGTTTTAACTCGGCATTTGCATCTGAGTACTGTAGCCTGGCCCGGCCCAGCCTGCCCAAGTTCCAGCTCATGCTGGTGGGGACTACAACCTAGCCAACCCAACCAGCCCCTAGTCCCGGCACTAGTGTGTACTAGCTGGTATTGTGGCCCAACCTGGAATGACCCCACACACCACCCTGACTTTCAAATTTGCCAGCGGGTGATACCAAGTGGCCCAGCCTGGCTCACCCCAGACCTGAGCCAAAGGTAAAACTGTGAGTATCATAACCTGGCCTGGTCTGGGCTGCTTCCTATTGTGATTTTTATGCTCACCTGCAGAGACTGTTTCCTACAGACGAGTTCCCCAAGTTCTTCCATCAGAAACCTCTCCCAATGCCAGATTTCGCACACACCGGTGGGTCCATGTGCCAGCCCTACTTAGTCCACCTCCCAGCCTACCAGGAACAATAGCCTTTACTAACTGGCCATCATCCATTCTGGTTCTTACTATTGGGTGCTACAGCCAAGCCAAGCCTAGTGCACGCCCAGACACAGCTCATGCATAGCTCAGGATGGGCAGAGGCCTAGCTCAGCCCATACTACACCCACCCTGGTTCTCACAATCACCAGTAGGTGCTAGAGTCTAGCCAGTCTGGTACCCCCAAGCTCCAGTCCACACTTGTGCCGAGAAAGACTGCAACCATGTCCAGATCAGAGTGCAGCCCTACTTTTGCCCATGTATTCATCACTGGGACACAGAAACCAGCCAGGGTGTCCCTTGTCTCCCCAACAAGGCCTGATCCCAGCCACAGATCTCATGCATGCCAGTGGTTGCTCTGACCCAATTGGCATATCCTCTCCCCTGTCTTGGCCTTTGCCTTCTGATGCTGCAGCCTGGCCTGGCCCAGCCGACCCCTAGTCCTAACTCTAACTGGCGGGTCAGGCAACCTGGCCCTGCTAATTCTGCTATCATCCCTGGTTCATGAAAAACAGTAGGTGTGGCAGCCCAGCATGACCTGCACTCCCTACTGGTTGCTGTACTTGCCAGTGGGCTATGGTTTGCTCAGCCTTGCCCGGTCTGCCCCTTTCCAAAACCAACTCATACACTTGTCAACAGATGGAGCTACCCTGCCTGCCCAACACCCAGGCCTGGACCATCTATACATCAGCAGAGGCTATGACCCACTAGGGGAATTTCCCAGATTCGCCCATTCAGGCCACTCCCAGAACCAGATCTCTCGCATGCTAGCAGGTGTTTGGCCTTTACCTGGCAGAGCTTGCCTATTCCATTCCAACCCAGCCTGCCCCAACCCATCTGTTAGGGTGCTTGTGTGGGTACTGCAGCCTGGACATACCCCAGTTGTTCCCAGCGTCAGTACCAGTTTAGCATCAGTGAGTTCCATGGTCACACTTTGCTCAGCCCATCACCATCACAACTCTCAAGCTGATCAGCAGGATTTGTAGTTCCATAGGGTTGGACTCACTTATTCCCCCCACCCACAGAGCAGGTTCTCTTGTGTGCTGGTTGGTGTCATGGCCCAGTCTAATGTGACCCATTCCCTGATCCGACACTCAAGTCAGGTACTAGAATCCAGTCCTGACGGACAGGCCCCCAGCCGTAGCTTGCATATGCACTGGCATGTAGTGGTCAGACGTGTTCCAAGCTAACAACTCCAACCCAGGACTCCCATGTGGGCTGGTGTATCAGTCTGACACATAAAGAGCTTCAGCTCTCCCATCAAAACCACCAAATCTCAGTCCCTCGCTTACCTGCAAGTACAGTGGCCCCGTCATTGGATGTCCCTCAGGATTCATTTCTCACCTACACATAGGAGTGGCCTTATTCATGGATATCCCTAGGCAGTAATTCCATACTCCAAAGACCCCAGAGCTTACCACCAGGTGGCCAGTGGGCAGAGCCGACAAACCTATGACCCCTCTCCCGCCGTAGCACCAGCAGATGGGAGCTAGGATCCCCAGTAGGAAGCCTGGCATGGCACAGCTTCTCCCAGCCACAGCTACATGGCCAGGAGAGTAAGATACCCAAGTCACTGTTCTGACATACCTGGACTCTGCCCACCAAGATCCACAACTCTGCTTTTAAATAAAAATTTTAAAAATTGAGGGGAAAAGTTTACAATTTTATAGCACATAGGTGAGGTAGAGGATGTGGCTGCCCTTTGTAATCTCAGAGATTTTATTAAATGACAATTACTGCCACTTAAAGTCCTGTTTATCCAGCAAGACCTGGTGTTTTCTTTTGGGGACAATTTTAAATTACTGATTCCATTTCTTTAATAGTTACATAACCATTCAGGCTTATTTTTTTAAGTTAATAGCCTAGATAACTTATCTTCTCAGACAGTGTACATAGTTTCCTATTTTTGCAGTATAACAGATAGTCTTCTTCATTTTTATTTTTAGTTGTTGTGAAGTGCACATCAAACGCACAGGTCAACAGCATGAGATTTGCTCACGTGATCTGGCGGTCACCCTGTGGAGTGTTTCTCCTTTGGAAGCTGAAACTCTTTATGCCTCAAACTGCCTCCTGTTTCCCCTCCCCTGGTTCCTAGCAGCATGGTTCTCTTTCCATGTCTGTGAATTTGTCAAGTATGCATCTCGAGTTACCATTCCCATTTTTGTAAAGGTGGAAAAGCAAGACAGAGAAGAAACAGACTATGAATTCAACAGCCAGAACAGTTTTATTCAAAGCAAAACTTGAGAGAGAGAGACCCAGTACAGCGAGCATATTTCCTACAGGCTAAGGGCTTCTGTCTCATGGGCTAAGGCTGAACTCTGAAGACAACAATGCAGCTGTAAGATGGAATCACTTCTGCTCATGAACCAGCAGTTTCCACACCAACAATGTTTGTGCTATCTTTTTCCTCATAAGTAGATTTCCCCAGAGACTTGCCCATTGTATTTGATTTTCCTTCTAAGAACTAATTCTGACTTGAGTGTTTTTTTAACTTATAAAATATAGCCTGTGTTTTTGTTTTCTGTTTCAATGATGTACCTTTACTCCCTGTAAAGTCACATTTGGATTTATGTTGTTCTTTTATAGCTCCTTGACCACTTACTAAAATTGGGTACTTAATTCAGGCTTCTGTTCTTACGCAAGCATTCAAGGCTATCAGTATCTCTAAGTGCTACATTTCACGAATTTTAATGTGATGTTTTCTTTATCACTCAGTTCTGAGAACTTATAACCTACTATGGTTTCTACTTTGATCATTTAGGGTTTTGGGTTTTTTTTTTACATTATTCACATAGTTGAGAGGAACGCACACCATGTGGGTCTCCAAGCATGGTGGGGATGATCAAGTCATAGAGAAAGGTGGATGGGACAAATGCTTCAACTTTCTTTTTTCTCCTTTGTCCTCAGAGAAGGAAGGGAGAGACCACTCCTTATTGTCAAACTACATCAGCACCCAGGGATGGGGGAATGGCCATGTGATGACACCTTAGAGACCCCAATGTTGGGGAGAATGTTCGAGGGTGTTACTTGACTGATTTTTTTATTAAAGATTTTTTTTTTTATTATTTTTTTTATTGGAAGGGCGGATATACAGAGAGGAGAGACAGAGAGGAAGATCCCCAAGTGAGCGCAATGTCCTGTGCTGGGCCGATCCGAAGCCAGGAGCCTCTTCCGGGTCTCCCACGCGGGTGCAGGGTCCCAAAGCCTTGGGCCGTCCTCGACTGCTTTCCCGGGCCACAGGCAGGGAGCTGGAAGGGAAGCGGGGCTGCTGGGATAGAACCGGCGCCCATATGGGATCCCGGGCGTGCAAGGCGAGGACCTTAACCACTGCGCCACCGCGCCGGGGCCCATACTTGAGTGATTTTGATAGCTCTGAGAATTCATTGAATTCATTGCACCAGGGTTAAGAAAATCTTTCCAAGATGTATGGGCTGACCAAATCCACCTTAGCGTGCACCCACAGACTAAGGAACATGTTGCAAAGCTTGGCCAGAAGAGTGGTCCAGCCTGTTCTGCTTCCCATCCTCCAATGAGGTGCTTGATATCTTCTGCTGACTTAGATGAACCATCATGTCCCTTGTGTACATCTGGGAATGCTGACCACTGCACAAACTGAGGAGGTCCAGTCCCAACTCATGCATTCCAAGGTCTGACCACCACATTTATCATGATTTTCCCTGTGGCCAGGATTTGAGTCCAGCCATCTAGCTGGGGAATGCCTTCATAAGCCTCACCTGGGGTAACCTCTGGCTTGACTCTTGTGTGAACCAGCCCACGCAGGGTCAGGTTCAGTTGTTTGTCTACATCAGCCAATGCACATACCAGTGCATGCAGCTGCCTGGTCAGTGCTACACCCAGCCCCATCTCTCATGCAAACTGATGAGTGCTATGGCATAGCCTAGCCCAGCCCAGCCCCATCTGCAGGCACACTAGCAGGTGCCACAGCCTAGTAGAGACGAACCCCAACAATCCCCACCACACCCACCCTGGCACTCATTGGTGGTTGCTACAGCCTCACCCCAGCCTTGCCCACCCCCAGACCTGGCTCTCAGGTGAACTAACAGATGCCATAGTCTAATCTGGCCTACCCCACATCCATTGTGGTTCTCATGAGCACCAGCTGGTGCTGGAGCCTACCACAGTCTGACTAACTCCAGACTCTGCCCACAGGCATGCCAACCTGGTCTGCCCTCAGCCCTGGCTGTCACACTCACCAGGAGGAGCTGCAGCATAGCAGGAGAGTGTCCAGAGTTCCCCTATCAGGTCTGTTCTCAGCCCTGGATCTTGCACGTGCTGACAAGTGCTTTGACCCAGCCTGGTATGGCCCACTTTCAGTCTCAGCTCCTGCTGGCAGGTATTACAGCCTAGCTCAGCTGGGCTCAGCCCACATCCTGTCCTGACTCGTGTGAGCCAGCCGATGCTGCGGCCTGGCCTAGCCCAGCCTGTCTCCAGACCCGGTCCACACTGATGCTGAAGAGTGTTACAGCCTTGCCTGGCCTGGCCTGGCCTGGCCTGCTCCCAGCCCCAACCATTGTTCTGCATAGCAGGAGCTATGACCTAGCAGGGGAGTTCCCCAAGTTTGCCTGCTAGGCCCAGATCTCATGTTTGCCAGCATGTGCTGTGGCTCTTCTTGGAAGGACCTACCCTCAATCCTGGCCTTTACATGTGCCAGTAGCAGTCTGGCCCAGCCTGGCCTCCTTCCAGCTCTAGTAGGGGCTTGGCTTGTCATCATTCCCAGTTCTCCTTGCAAACTAGAAGGTGTTGTTGTCCCACAGAAGTGAGCCCACAATTTTCCTAAGAATCTGCCCCCAAATCCAATTCTCTCACATTCTGGTGGGTGCTGAGACCCAATGTGAATTGGCCCACCCACTGCTCTGACACTCACGTTCAAGTACTGCAGCCTAGCCCAGCCAGGCATGCCCCCAGCTCCAGTTTTTGTATGCGCTAGTGGGCATCAGGTGATGTTATTTAGCCCAGCTCATGTTTCCCACGTGGGCGGGTGCCTTGACCTGACTCCAGTTTCCCCCTTGTAAACCACTCATCTCAGCTCTCTCGCCTACCTATGAATGCAGTGATCCAGTCCCTGGCAGCCCCCAAATCATTACTTCCCTGTCAATTATGCCCTCAGCCACCTCCACTGCAACGCATCTCCAAACCCCTTCCCCAGGCAATTGGCAACCATCACCTGGGAGCTGGTGTGGCATGTGCTGGCGCCTTATTCCCTGCCTTCCCCATATATCTTTTAAAAATAAGAATAGGCAGCTGTGCTGGCACACCAGTATAGTTAACACAAATTTGACATTAAACAGGTCCAGAACGCCTGCCAGCCTTGGTTGCTTTTCTCCCAAAAATGAAACACTTTTCTCCCAGAAGTATAGCACAAGGCAACCTAGGCAGTTGCCTACAGCTGGGGCTAGGGTATGTTTTAAACCTATCAAATATGTGATCTTTAGAACTTATCCTCTTGAAGAACTCCTGTCTCTAACTTATAAATTCAGACCAAGCTTTTAAATTGGGTTTCAACTCTTCCATTCATTGATTGATTTTATTCCCTGTCTTTATCACTGTTTATAACTAAGGGTACATGTTAAAATCTTTTGTTATGTGGTCATGTCTGACACAGCATTTAGGATGCTACTTGGGACGCCAGCCTCCTATAGTAGACAACCTGTCTTGAGTCTCCAGTTCTCCACTTCTGATCCAGCATCCTACTATCACAGTCTGGGAGGTAGTACATAATGGTTCAAGTACTTGGATCTCTGCCACCCATGTAGAAGATTTGGATTAAAATTTGGGCTCCTGGTTTCAGTCCATCCCAGAAACTAGCTATTGTGGGCATCTGAGGACTGAACCAGAGGATGAAAAAGTGTTCTCCGTCTTTTCAAATAAAATTAAAATGTTGTCTAGCACTAGGCCTAGTGGCTAAACCAGCATCTTGCAAGTTCCAGCATCTGGTATGGGTGCTGGTTTGTGTCCTGGCTATTCCACTTCCCATCCTGGCCCCTGCTCGAGACCTGGGAAAGTAGTTGAGGATGGCACAAAGTATTTGAATTTGTTCCTATGTAAAGTGCCCATTTCCTGTTACCATTTTTTGACTGTTTTTTTTTTCTTTTGATGTTATTTTTGTTCTTGAGTTCTTTGTACACTCTGGAAACTTGCCCTTTGTTTCCTGTGTAATGTGCAAAGATCTCCCATTCTCTTGGTTGCTTTTTTAATTTGATGATTGTTTCCTTTGCTGTGTAGAAACCTCTTAGCTTAGTGTGGTCCCATTTGTTTATTTCGGTCTTGACTTCCTTTGCTTTTGATGATTTTTCTAGTTAGTCCATGCCTACGCCTATGTGTTGCAGAGTATTTCCAACCTTTTCTTCTAAATGTTTGATGGTTTCTGGGTGTAGGTTTAGATAATTTATCCATTTATATTTGATTTTTGTGTATGGTTAAAGTTGTGGGTCTTGCTTCTTATTTTTGCATGCTATTAGCCAGTTGTCTCAACAGCATCTATTGAAGAGATCTTCCTTTTTTCCTGAATTGTTTTCTGTTTTCTTGTTGAAAATTAGATAGTTGTGCATGTGTGGGTTCCCTTCTGGATTTTCTTTTCTACTCCATTGATTTACCTCTCTGTTTCTGTACCAGTACCGAACCGTTTTGATAACTACCACCATATAATATGTGCAAAGATATGGTATTGTGATCCTTCCCACTAGGTTCTTATTTTTCAGGATAGGTCTGGCTATTTGTGGATTTTTTGTGTTTCCAAATGAACCTTTGCATCATTTTTTCCAGCTTTGTAAAGAATGTTCTTGGTATTTTGATTGGAAACACGTCTATATTGCTTTTGATTTCCTGGACATTTTGATTATGTTAACTCTGCCTATCCAGGAACATGGTATGTTTCTCCACTTTTTGTCTTCTATTTCTTGTCTTAATGTGTTATAGTTTTCCTCATGGAGGTCTTCCACATACTTTGCTAGGTTTATTCCTAGGTATTTCATTTTTCTGCCCTGTTATTTTGAAGGACACCATGCTGGTTAGTTCTTCTTCAGCCTTGGGGTTATTTATGTACACCAAGGCTCTTGATTTCTTTTCATTTATCTTGTACCCTGTCATTTTGCCGAACCTCGTACAAGTTAACAGTCTCTTTATTGAGTCTCCTTGTTCTCCTATGTATAGAAGCATGTCATCTGCAAACATAGACAACTTGACTTCCTCCTTTCCCATTTGAATTTGTTTGATTTCTTTTTTCTTGTCTGATAGCATTTGCAAATACTTCCAGTACTATATTAAATAGCAGTGGTGATAGTGGACATCCTTGTCTGGTTCCAGATCTTAGTGGGAAGGCTTCTATTCTTCATCCAACATGATGTTGGCATTGGGTTTTTCATATATTGCTTTGATTTTGTTGTGAATTGTTCCTTCTATGCCTACTTTATTGAGTGTTTTTAACATGAAGTGGTGATCGATTTTGTCAAAAGCTTTTTCTGCATCCATTGAAATTATCATATGATTCGGGCCCGGCGGCATGGCCAAGCGGCTAAAGTCCTCACCGTGAATGCCCCGGGATCCCATATGGGCACCAGTTCTAATCCCAGCAGCTCCACTTCCCCTCCAGCTCCCTGCTTGTGGCCTGGAAAAGCAGTCGAGGATGGCCCAAAGCCTTGGGACCCTGCACCCATGTGGGAGACCTGGAAGAAGTTCCTGGCTCCTGGCTATGGATCGGCATAGCATTGGCCGTTGCGTTCACTTGGGGAGTGAATCATTGGACGGAAGATCTTCCTCTCTGTCTCTCCTCTCTGTATATCTGACTTCTGAATAAATAAATAAATCTTTAAAAAAAAAAAGAAAAAAGAAATTATCATACGATTCTTGTTCTTCAGTATTTTGATGTGATGCATCACATTTATAGATTTACAAATGTTGAACTATCCCTGTGTGCCCAAGACGAATCCCACTTGATCTGGATCAATGATCTGTTCTGATATGTTTTTGTATTCTGTTGGTTAGTATTTTATTGAGGATCTTAGCACTGATGTTCATCAGGGATATTGGTTTGTAGTTTTCTTTATTTGTTGGATCTCTGTCTGGTTTTGGCATTAAGTTGATGTTGGCTTCATAGAATGAGTTTGGAAGAATTGCCTCCCCTTCTATTGATTTGAAGAGATTATGGAGGATTGGGTTCAGCTCTGTGTGGAATACTTTGTAAAATTCACCAGTGAAACTGTCTAGGTCAAAACTTTTCTTTGTTGGGAAAGCTTTAATTACTGATTCAATCTCTGCCTCCATATAGGTTTGTTTAGGTTTTCCATTGCTTTGTGGCTAAGTTTTAGTAATTGGTGGGAGTCCAGGCATCTCTCTATTTCATGGAAATCTTCTGATTTGTTGGTGTATAGTTGTGTGTGTGTGTAGTAATTTCTAATTATTCTCTGTATGTCTGCAGTGTTCATTGTTATATTCCCTTTTTCATCTTTGATGCTCTGAATTCTTGTTTTCTCCCACTTTTTTTTGTCAGTTGGGCCGGGGGCAGGGGTGTGTGTCTATTTTGTTTATTTTTTCAAAAAACCAACTTTTCAATTCATTGATTTTGTGTATGGATTTTTAATCTCTATTTGGTTAATTTCTCCTCTTATTTTGATAATTTCATGTTTTGTGTTGTTTTGAGGGTTGTTTTGTTGTTGGTTTTCTAGATCCTTCAGCTGTATACTGAGCTTGCATACCTGCTGTCTCTCTTGCTTCTTGATATGGGCCCCAATTGCAATAAATTAACCTCTTAATACTGCCTTGGTGGTATCCAACAAATTTTGATATGTTGTGCTTGAGTCTTTGTTGGTTTTAAGAAATTTTTTACTTCTTGTTTAATTTTTCTCTGAGCCATTATTCATTTAGTAGCATGTTGTTTATCTTCTACAAGTTTACATATTTCCTGGGGTGTTTTAAATTATTGATTTCCAGTTTTACTCCATGATGGTCTGAAAAGATGCCTGGTATGATTTCTATTCTTTGAAGTTGGTAAGACTTGTTTTGTGCCCTGTCATGTGGTTGATCCTGGAGAAGGTGCCATGTATGGCTGAAATACATATATATATATATATATATTTATATATATATATATATATATTCTGTGTCCATGGGATGCAAGAGTCTATCTATATATATATGTATTGGTTAGGTCCATTTGTTCTGTTGTCCATGTGAGTTCTGTTGTTTATTTGTTGAGTTTCTGTTTTGTTGATCTATCTAGTGGTGTTAATGGAGTGTCTCCCACAATG